TGTGTGTGTGTGTGTGTGTGTGTGTGTGTGTGTGTGTGTGTGTGTGTTGCACTTGTGCATGCACTTGAGGATTAGGCGGGAGAGGTCAAGCTCAAGTATTGTTCATCAGGTACTGTTCATCTTGTTCTTTGACATGGAGACCCTCTTTGGCCTGAAACTTGCCACAGCTGAGATTACAGACATGTATTACCATGCTGAGCTTTTTGTGTGAGTCCTGGGGATTGAAAGTAGGTCAACATGCTTGCAAGGCAAGTGCTTTATAGACTGAACTCTCTCCCTGGCTGTAATTTTGTTGTTTTTATGTACTGATGAGTTTGGGAAATACTGGAAAGCTTCTAGTGAGGAAAATGAAAGACAGGGTATCCAATGAGGTGTTGTATTAAACTGACAGCCAATAGAAGAGTGTTGTTTCTGTCAGGGAAGTCCAACACTAGCAACTCAGACCTAACTTACTCTGCAGAGAATCCGCAACGGAATGAGGGCAAGGATGGACTAACGGGCCACATTGACTGGCATCTGTGCCAATAGTGGATTCACTGTTTTTCATTTCCTTGGGGACTTTTTTTTTAAAAGTATCACTTGCTTTTTTAAGTACCAGGGAATCTTGTATTTGCATTGCATATTAAGTAGAAACCTCTCATTCATTATCTCCTCTTCCCTGTTCTACTAACCTGCTTACACTGACTAGCTCTTTTGCCTTAAATACTTATTCAGAAAATATGGTTTAGAAACCTAAAGACACGGGACTCAGAATACCCATATTTCTTGAATCTACTGTCTACAAGAGCTCTAACTTTGGGGAAAGAATTTAATGTCTCTGTGTCTTGATTACTTCATCTGTAAAATCAGGATAATGACCGTACTTAACTTGGAATTGTGAAGGATTCAGAACAGTGTCTGGTGTGAGGGTGGTAGGCATTATGAAGCCCTGCTAAGGGGGATACCATGCTGTAAATGTTTAGCAGCTAGCTCTCCAGGCTAAGAAAAAAAAAAAAAACCTGTGGCATCTACAGTTTGGCAATTCTGTGGTATAAATACCTTGACCAGTTTCAAGCCACCATAATGGGATCCCTATCTAAAGAGTTGAGCTGCAATAAAGATACATCGGACAAAGATAACCTCAAGTTAACAGATAATAAAATGTGGCATAATAATCAAGACATATTTGTTACCTCTTAAACCTATATTTTAATGTAAACTTGGGTCATTTAGCTTTTAATTACAGCTGTGTTTAATCACTGACTCAGAGCATCCCCAAGAACGTGGCATTAGCAGCTATAAGCTGGTTGGAGCTCCTTCAAATGCTGCACTGCTTGCTTGCTCACTCCGGCATTTGGCTATTTTACTCAGCTGTCTCCTGCTGTATAAAACAAACAAACAAACAAACAAAAAAACACCTTCAAATTTACCGCCTTGAGAACAATGACTTCCTGTTTCTCACACTTCTGTGTATCAGTGCTTAGTCAATCATTTCTGATCCACCTGGTACAGCCATGACCATTCATTTAGTTTGAGGCTCAGCTGGGGCTGGAACATCTGAGATAGTTTCTTATCCACCCACACCTCTGTCATAACTGAGGAAAGGTGTTGTTTGTGGTGGCCCACGGAGGCTGCTAACCAAGTGGTGGCTCCAGTGCATATGTCAGAGCCTCCCAAAGAACAAACCAAGTCAAACTGTCAGCAGGGACCCCCCTGAGGCATGGGCACAACCTCACAGAGGCACAGCCCTGTCTGTTGAGTATGTATCCTTTCTCTTCCCGACACATTCCCCCTATTGCTTTTGACAGCATAGATAAAATGTAAAATTACCTCCGAGCTCTCTAAATGTGCACTCAGCCTGTTTGGATTGCCTTCAAACAAACATGACAGATGTAGCATTCTGAGCTCAGATGCCTTGCCAGTCAGACATATGTACGTTTGCACATTAACAGCAATAACATCCTTTGGCTAAAGGAGTCTCTGCTTGCTGTGTTCACTAAAACATCTAGATTACCTCATTTCCCCTAAGTCTTTGATGTTCTTAGTACTACTCTTTACTCGAACAATTTGATTTCTTATGACCCGAAAGTTACCCGTGCTTTGTTTTGACTGACTGAGGGCATATACGTCCATTAGTTAAAGGTTGTTCATTGAGCCGTGACTTGTACTGTGTACAGGAGCTGCTCTTTGGGATGCAGCAGTGAATGAAACAAAGTTGCGTTTGCATAGTGCTTGCTTTGCTTTCTAGTTAGACAATAAATAAGCGCTTTGCTTTGCTTTGTTTTGTCTTTGAGGCAGATTCATTATGTAGCCCTGGTTGTCTGTACATAGACCAGGCTAGTCTCAATTCCTGGAGTTTGATACTACGTCCATTTAGCAAAATACTAGTTGTATGTTTACCTCCTGGGGTTAGAAGCTCTCTAACCATGATCTTGGCCGGATCTTAGTATTTCTTCCTGAGGAGTGGACATTAAATCCAACCAGAAAGCATTTGGCTACTCCCACAACAGTCTTGTCACTATTGCATCCATGGGTAATATCTTACCAAACCAGTAGCTATTGCAGTTCACAGAGGTCATAGCTGAGTAAGCATGCTGATAGCTTCTTTTCCTTACCAGCCTGCACAGCACCTTCCAGTACTATAAAAGCTATGTGCCTTAAAAAAAAAAAAAAAAAAGTATGTATGCATATTCTGTTTTCTCGGATTCTTGTATGAAAAGTAGTGTTTTATAATTTGTACCTTTTTTTTTCTTTTGCCCAGGGATATTGGCAATCACTATGTACTCATAAAAATAATGTATCTCTTATTCTTTGTTTACAGCTGCACGGTATTCCAAATATTCCTGTTTATTCGGCCAATCACCTCCCACATATGCACATTTACTTTCTGTGGAGTATGTTGCAATTATAAATAACACAACATTAAATTACCTCATATCTGATTCCTTGTACAGTATTTATACTGTAACAGTTTTATTTCTAAGTCTAGAAGTCTTTCCTTCTTTTTTTGTTTTGTTTTTTTTCTAGACATGGTTTCTTTGTGTAGCCCTGGCTGTCCTGGAACTAGATCTCTAGAGCAGCCTGGCCTTGCACTCAGAGATCTGACTCCCAAGTGCTGGGATTAAAGGCATGCCCACCACTGCTAAGCTCCTTCTCTATTTATAAATAAAATAAAAGCACCTGGCTATTGTGAGGATTCACTGAAACCATGTCCATAGGGGACATAGTTCAGTGCCAATCAAATTTACTCAGAGAATGTTAGTTGTTAGTAAAAAGTTATAAGTGTGAAAATATGTATCTGAGGATGCTCATTATAGAGTCATTCATGGTATTGAAAAATAAGTTTCAAAGTTTGGAAAGTGATCAAGATCATGCCACATTACTCGTAGAAAATTAGCCATCAAAGTGACGTAACTCATGCCTATAACCCCAGCACTCTGAGAGGCAAAGGCAGGTGAGTTTGAGGCCAACCTGGTCTACAAATTCTGTCTAGGACAGCCAAGGCTACAAAGAGAAACCTTGTCTTGAGAAAAAAAAAAAAAAAGATATAACTAGAAAAACATTGCAGAAACACACAAAGACTCTTCAGGGTTTTTTTTGTTTTTGTTTTTGTTTTGTTTGGTTTTTTTTGTTTGTTTTTCTGTGTAGCTGTCCTAGGCAGCTTTGTAGACCAGCTGGCCTCAAACTCACAGAGATGGTCTACCTCTGCCTTCTGAGTGCTGGGATTAAAGGCATTCACCACCATCACCCAAGTTCAGGTTTCTTTTTGACAGACTGACTTCATAATATATGCATGCATATGTTAATGCGCGTGCACATGTCCACAGATATCAAGAATAATGTCTTATAGACTGTTCAGCAGCTGTGACTGAAGACAGGACTGGTTTTGCTGGGAATGGCAGTGGTGTGTCATGATTCTTGCCACAGCGTCTTCATTTGCAAGGAGGGGCTAACCAACCAGTTATTTAACATAAGGATTAATTATACATCGGCACTAGGCTATGAACTTTTTAGAGAAACATGCCATCATGTGTCAGGTATCCCCCTAGGACAGTGCTCCTTTGTGCCTGCTGTGGCAGAATCTTTGAGTCACCAGCCCCTTCCTGCCAGCGTCGGGGAGCTGTACAACACAGAACTTCTGCTCTAGCCAGCCCTGTCATTTTGATTGTTGGCCTCTCTCCAATTTTTTTCTAATTTCTGTTTTATTTTAGAGAAACAATAGGTAATAGATATTTACTTTAAAATCTTTTAAGCCAGGTGTGGTGGCACATGCCTTTAAGCCCAGCACTTGGGAGGCAGCAATAGGCAGATCTCTTTGAGTTCGAGGGCAGCCTGATCTACAGAGTGTAAGACCTGGAGTCTCACTGCTCAGGAGCTCAGGATCGCGCCCTTCCCAGGAACTCTCATAGACCACAGCTTGATGCAAAAGCAAGAGGTTTATTGCTATCGCGATTAGGTCGCCCCTCCAAAGACAGGAGATGACCCCGAACATGCAAAGCACAGGGTTTTTATACCTGAAAATCAGATCACTTTTGCTCTATAGTTTACAGCTGGTTGTTTCTCAGAGCAGTTCACCCTGCCCTTCAAGAGCTATCTGCACCTGGCTTCAATTCAAATAATCACAGTTGTTTTTCTCATCCCTGGGTGGTCCCTCAAGAGCAATGTTCCAGAACAGCCAAGGCTACACAGAGAAACCATACCATGTATGTGCCTAGTGCCTTCAGAGGGTGTCAGCAGATCCTGTGCAACCAGAGTTAGGGACGGTTTTAAGCCACCTTGTGGGTACTGGGAATAGAACCCAGGGCCTCTTAGGGGGCAGCAAGTGCTCTTAACTGGTGAGCCATCTTACCAGCCTCTTCTTTTTATCCTTTTGCTTTTTTTTTTTTGAGACAGTCTTGCCTGAAACTCTTGCTCTCAAGCTTCCGGAGTGTTGGGATGGAAGGGCAGTCTATCACACTTACCTTGGACTCAGGGGCTTTTATGTAGACGCCACAGCTTGAGGAACAGGAGCTTTCCCAACTGAGCCTTCTCTGAAGCCCAATTAGCAGCTCCATCTAAAGATGAGGAGACCAAAGTGAGGCTAAGTGGTTTTCAGGAAACTCTATTGCTAAGAAGCAGTTTTGTTGCAATATAAACTCCAGTGTTTCTAAAGCCAGCAGTCAAGTCCAGACCCGTCACTTGGTGAATCTGTGAATACAGCCTGCATTTGAGCTACTTGGTGTTTTTGTCCTTTTCTCATGAACATGTACTGATGAGCTCATTAGTGGAACTTTCCATAGCCATGTTGATAACCAGTTTTTCTTATTCCTTATACTTTGGTTAAAATGACAGTGCCTAAGATAGGAAGAGGCAGGCACAGTGACTTTCTTGCATGGTTGTGTCACTTGAAATCTCCCATGTATGAAGTTTTTTCATAGACTGTCTATACTTGATATTCTTTAGGACCCCAGATTTTTTATTCTCTCACCAATCCACGAAATATTTAGCACCTCTCTATTTTGTAAGATGTTTATTCCTTAAGGCTGAAAAGGGTAATGACCAAAATTCTTTGAAATAATAATGAAACACTGGGAACTGTGGGAATGCCTGTGGGGATATGAGCCACGTGGACATAAGATTTTCAACTAATTTACAATGTTAAGAGTTAAGTTTGAGTGTTTTTTTTTTTTTTTCACCCTATGAGAACACTGAGCCTACTTCTTTTCTTAGGCCCAGGCCTGATGTCAATCCCGTTACACACAGCAGCTCTAATCTACAATACACCCCTCTTCTAATTTTGTCCCACCTCTTTCGCTACCATCCAATGACGACACTTTTGTTTTCGTGGATGGGTGCGCAATCTCTCTTACTGCAGTAAGTTCAAACATTTTGGCCACTGCCGGTCAGTTTACACCTGTCTTCGTAAGGGGCAGTTTTACTCATCCTAAACCATAGCTCCAAAACAGCAGCAACAAAGCAGAACAAAAGTCTAGTGAACTCGATATCTTTTCACTAGTCATTTTTTTTAATTATATTTTTAAAACAACCATTTTCATCTGTTGCTAATTTAAAGCCCCCAGTGAGCCAGATTGAAAGTCAAGGCCACACCCCCTTTCAGTTCCTTTTTCACTCCTCTCAAAAGCAGCAGTCTTTTCTCTTCATGAAAAATTCTTCCCCTAGATTTTTGTCCAACCACTCTGTTCAGAAGGCCACCTCTTGAATATGGCCACTATTAAATGCTCTCTCAAATCGTCTCAAGATTTCCAGTCTTCCGCTGCCACTCTACCCCATCATCCTATTTTTTTTCCGTATCCTTCTCTGAAATTTTTCATTACTCATTTGTTTTTCTGTGTACCCTGAGACTGCAAAGTCCAGAAACCACAACTGTGTTTGAGAGCTGCAGTTGCATCCCCAGTGTCTAGAAATCTGTCTGAAGTTGTAAACAAATTGCTGATGCGATTAAATGAGTAAGTATCCAGTTTACCGCCTCCTCCCCCTTTAAATAAATAGCCTCCTAGAGGCACTCTTTGAATTACAACTCCGGCTAGGTGAAGGGCTTGTGGCCTCCCATTGGCTTGCAGTACTTGCCGTTGCTCTGGGCAACCACTGTTTCCCACTGGACGTGTCGTCGCCGCCCCGCCTGTCCTGCTCGGCCCCACCCCAGCACCTCGGGATCTGGTTATGCTCTTCAAAAACGCGGCACTGGCTCTTTAAGCCGCGGGGAGCACTTCTGGTCACGTGGCCCGAGGCCACCGGAAGGGGAAGTTTCTCCTGTGAGCCCTGCCTCGCTCGTCCGAATTCGGTGGCGCCACGTCCGTCCGTCTCCGCCTCCTGCACAGCGGCTGCGCCTCTACTTTCCCTGGCCAAGCCGGCCGCGGGGGTGGGTACGGGAGGACGCGCGGAGCTGCGCAGCCGGCCACCTGACGGGCGACCATGTCGGACATCGGGGACTGGTTCAGGAGCATCCCGGCCATCACGCGCTACTGGTTTGCTGCCACCGTCGCGGTCCCTTTGATCGGCAAGCTCGGTCTTATTAGCCCGGCCTACTTCTTCCTCTGGCCCGAAGCCTTCCTCTATCGCTTCCAGGTAGTAGCTGGCGTCGGGCAGTGGAGACTACAGCCCCCAGGTGTCCCCGCGGCGTCGGAACGGGTTGGCCGGGCTGCGGGGCGCGCTGGGGCTGGTGGGATCTGTAGTGCGTCTGGCTCCAGCGTGTAAGGCAGGGTCCTTTGGGTCCCAGGAGGACCCGGGGTCCCGAGCTAAGCCTTGGATAATTTAGAGTTGAGCATTATTAGCCTGTTGGGACGTGACTCACGATACCTGTCTGGCAAGATAGTGCTTCCCGCCCTCCGCACCCTGAAGGAAATAGTGAGAAGGTAAGTTAGTGATAGTTGCTATTCTGTCGGCCTTAAGGTTTTCTGCCTTCCCTCTATCCCCCGTCGTGGGTGATGATATCAACTTAGTGTCTGCTTGACATACTTCTGGATGGATCGTTTGCATGTTTTCAGTTTCTGTCTCCGCCCTAAACGAGTGATTTAAGGTCAGAGAAAAATAAGAATGAATTTATCTGTATTTCCTGTAGGTCCTGTCCCATTGCCTGGCTTATAGCAGTTAAGTGTATCAGTGAATAAATCATCTATTCAGGAAACGGAAGATTATCATTCTAGGCCAAAGAATATTAATTTCCTAAAGGTTATTTTTATCGATTCTGTGATATAAAAATTTAGTCAAGGGAAGCTCAGATTCCAATATTAGATATGAACCCCCAACGCATTCCCCGGCCTTCCCCTTCTACTGTATACTGGGTGTTATTTTCTGGTCTCTTTTTCTGATTTCTCATTTACCCAATCTAAATGTTGGGTTATGCTACAGGAATGTGTTTATAGGATCCCCTTGTTGCTCCCCCGGACTCAGATCTTTACCATTCAGGGGCATAAATAGTTGAATGGGAGACTTGGCAGATACACAAGTGTCTTTAGTGTAGTGTTGTAAATCACTGCCTGATGACCAGTGGATCTAAACAAATTTCCTTTTTGTCTTTGCCTCAGAAGTAAATAGCAACTGCATTTGCTAGAGGAGTTTAAGCTACCAATCATTGAGACATCGCTGAGTTCCTTTTTGGTTTTACTTCCTAGTGCTGGGAATCAAGCCCAGGGCATGCCATGAGCTAGGCAAGTGCTCAGCCACTGAGACACACACCTTGTACAGCCCCTTGACTTGTTTTTCCTCCGCAGAGTTTATGAGCGGTACAGCTGATTCTACCTCAACTGTAGATCCAGAGTATGGACCTTTCTCTTTCTCCACTGCAAGCCGTTACTGTGCCAGCTTTGCTCTTTTGGTTCTCGCTGGACAGCCAGAGCAGTCCTGTTAAAACGTAAATCATAATAAATCATGTCCTGTCAGGGGCCCCAGAACCTTCCAGTATCTGAATTTGTGATGGGTAAAGTCCTTGCCAGGGCTTGCTGTTACAGGACCTAAGTTGACCTCAGGGCCTTTGCACATGTCATTTCTCTACTGAAGAAGAGAATCGTAGCTCATTCACTTACCTATGTATCTTTCAGGGCTTTGCCCAAATGCCATTTTACTTTTAAGGCCTTCTGATTTCTCTCCATTAGAGGATGTTCCTCTTTTTCTGTTTCCCTTACCTTTACTTTTTCTTGCTATATGCTATCTGTTGGAATTTGTTAGTCTACTTCTGATTAGAGAACAAGGTTTCATAGGATCTTTACCACTGCCTTTGTTACCTAGATGTGTGTGTGCTTTGCACTTGTCTACAATAGTGAATAATACAGAGGTTAGAAGAAGGCACATTGTTAAGGAGAATGATGATTTAAGGTACAGTGTTTCTGAAAAGTCTAAGAGGACTTGAAGAATAGCACAGTGGGAAAACTGGGAAGAGAAAGAAGACTGGGTATCTCATACAGAGCCAACTGAAGTGGTAAAGCCTGGTAGATGAAAGTGGGGGTTAACCAGGGGCTCACACTGTAAAGCAGAGGTGGAAATGTGGATTAGGACTGGGTCATAGAGGGACTTGTAGTTCACAGTAAAGTAAATGTTAAGTTTTCACAGTGCTAAGGATCGGACCTAGGGCATTGCACATGCTAGGCAAATATTCCACCTTTGAACTTTTATTTTAGAGCACCGATGAAGCCTGGGAGGATTTGAACAAAACACAGTTGACTGCCTATTCTGAGGAGTGGAGTTAGTGTGTTGGGAAGTACTGGGTGATAGAATCAGAGAGATACAAATTAGGAGGCAAGAAAGATGGTTTGGATCAAGGTTCCTGTGGATAGATTTGGCAGTTAGTGTGGATAAGATTGCCACTAAATGGATACAGAGATAAGTAGGAGAAGGAAAGAGGACTCAAGGATACCACTGTTTTATGGGAGTGACTGGCACAGGCCTTTCCTGAGCGTGGGAATGCTTTAAGAGGCTTGATGTGCTTTGACCAGTGTTAGATCTTGAGGTCTTTCCAGGCATCCCGGTAGAGACATCCTGCAGCAGTTGGTTGTAAGAACATGGTTCTAGAGCACAGCTCTAATTGCATACTGCTTTCAATTATTTGCTTTAGTAAGTATACCTTGGCAAAGTGCTGTCCTGAACCTTGTGCCTGGTGGTATGTTGGGTAATGTGTGTGCATGGGGAGTGTTGGCTGTAAATCATAAGAACGTGGTCAAAATGGACTCTTTGTGCCTTGTGAAATCTTGCTCATTTGTGTAGCCAGATTGCTAGAATAAGCAATATCAAAAGCTTTGCTAATAAGCTACAGATGCAATAATGTTAAAAATGGGAACCCACCAGAGTCATCATTTGTATCACACCTCATGTATGTATACATCAGCTCCTCAGATGCAGATTTGTAACAAACCTAGTAGAAACAATACAAGAAAGATGGAAAGCACAGAAGGTGTGCTTTCACAGTTTCTGCAGGAGACGCCTCTCCTTAGATGCTCCATCTGTGTCAGCCTAAAGAAATTGTGGGATAATTGATGTAGAATTGTGCATTCACAATTTGAAGTAACTAAAAGATTTTTTCCTTACTTCTGTGGAATGTGATGGTTTAAAGTTACAAAGTTTAAAGTGCCATTTCTCTAGTTAGGATAACAAAATATAGGAAATGTGCTAAGGCTCACTACTTGGCTGTCCACAGTTTCTCCCTATCACATACTTCCCAGTGATGGTGTGTCTTCATATTGGCCCCTGATTAAAGAGAGGTGGCGGTTTTCTGATGCGCCTCCTGTGGAGCCTGTACTATATTTCATTTCTTAACAGCAAAACAGTGTCATTCCCTTTCATTAGTATTGTGCTTTTCTATATGTATGTTAGTCATCTCGGCTTCCACAGCAGTCTAGAGAGAAGTGCTGGCTCATGAGCAGCCACAGCTGGTTTCTGTCTCAACTAGTTTAGAATGGTCTAAGTTGTCCTAAATCCCTTGCTAAGTCCCTACCACCAAAGTGTTTAGCAAAGCATTTTGAAAAGTAGTTTCTTCCAAATTAGTTATAGAAAATTATTTTTCCTTTTCTCCTAGGGCTGGAAGATCACAAGGCTTCAAATAGTTAAGTCATTTAGGAGAGAAAAATTGCAGGCTTTCAGGAATTTCAAGTAGTGGGGTCATAATCTCAAGGCCCAGCTCAGACTTTTACAAGTTGTGTGCCATGAACCAATTTACTTACCTGTCTGGACCTAAAATATTGTCACCTAAAAGCAGATATAATGTAATGACATGGTAACAGGACTCTTACCCATAGGGCCCTCCATCAGTTTAATGCTTTTTTTGGAAGGAGAAGAGTACAAGTTACCTTAAATGAATATATTAATTACAAGCTAAGTCTTAATTCCATAACATAAACAAAAGTGCCTTAAAATCAAGAAAATATATTGGCTATTTTTTATACCACACAGAAAATTGTATAATAGCCAATAAATAGTCTTAGTAAACAAAGTATCAAAATAGTTGACCATTTTTATTAGTAATAATATAAGATGTTAATATTAAGTTAGAAATATAACTCATAAATTATTGTTGATATTTCATCCACATCACAGAATCCCAACTTACTGGGCATGGTGGTTATACACCTGTAATTCTAACACTGTGGAATCAGAGGCCAGGCTGGGCTGCATAGCCAATTTCAGGCTAGCTTTGTTATGGAGTGAGACCGTATCCCAAGAAAGTAAAAAGTAAGCAGCAACAATGACAAAGACCACTGAGGGCTGGGCTGTGGGTTGGTGTGCCTGCCTAGCACTCACAAAGCCTTGGGTTTGATCCCTTATGCCACATAAAACCAGGCATTGTGGCATGTGTCTGTAATCCCAGCATTTGAGAGGTGGAGGCAGGAGGATCACTAATTCAGGGTCATCCTTGACTATATAATAATTTCAAGGATAGCCTGTCTCAGGGAGAGAGAGAGAGCGCGAGCGAGCGCTAATGAACAGTAGAACAAAAAGGTTTCTAATTTAGAATAGGAAGATGTGAGCACTCAGCTTCTCTAACTCGTTTTCCAGAGCTAGATGTTGTCATATTTAACCCAGTGACTATAACCTTGGCAGGTTGATTTAAGAGTATTTGGGTTATGCTTTATGTATAACTGGAAGGACAGTAAACTTGAACCATGGGCTGTAGCAGCAAGGTTTGCTTACACCAGCATTCAGCACACAGGTGCTACCATCATTTTTCTTGCTTGGAGACCCATGTTGTGTATGTGTGTGCATATAAGTACGTGCGTGTATTTGTGTGGTTGAGTGTGTGTTGCATATGTGTGCATGCACAAGTGTACAAATGTGTGAAGGCCAAAGATGAATCTGCAGTGGCCTTCCTCAGGAGCTGTAAACCTTGTTTTTTGAGACAAGGTCTCTCAGCGGGACCTGGGCCTCACTGATTAGGGTAGGCTGGTTGGCCGGAAGCACTGTTTGCATCCTCCCAGCACTGGAATTACAGGTGTTTGCCGCTGTGCCCAGCATTTTACATGTGTTCTGGGTATTGAGCTCATGCCCTCATTCTCTTTTCGTGTTTTCCTCTCCCATGTTGACATTCTTAACTTCAAAATAACCCTTTTTGTTTCCGACAGATCTTTGTTTTTCTCACACTA